GGAAACTAACTCTATGAAAATTTTGGATCTCCTGTGCTTTGAACTAAGGCCTAAGCAGCATGACCATGGTCATATTAAGGAGGCTTGACATCTTCTTAGAAGAGAGTGAGAGGTATAGATGCAGCATGTAAGGTGCGACCATAATAGGGCAGCTAATTTGCTAGTTAGGCAAAAACTAGATGCTATGCCTAAAATTCATTTAATTATTTATCCTTTGACTTTATTAATCTGTTGAGTTGGATTAGCCTAACTATGCTCGTATGGGGATAACTTAGGTAGCTTTGTTGTGCCTTTTGGTAAAAAAATGTAAAAAAATAAAATTGATAAAACTTAAATTTAAAAGAATAAATCAATAATTGATGAAAAATTAAGAAATTGAAAGTTTTATTATACTTAATTTTTATAAACAAGTCAACTTTATCAAAAAAAGTTGAACATTAAATTTCTAGGCTTCTAGCTACTCCTTAAAGAAAGAGCAACCCCTGCAATGAAGCTAGCTATAGTTTTTTTGGATGAATTAAGAGCATTCTTAATTGTCAAGAGATATTAATATTTCTTTGGATATTTAAAGCATATGATGGGTTCATTTTGGCTCTATTTACTTTGTAATGGACGTTTATCTTTCAACTTCTTACTTATATAATTTCAAATGAGTATAAATAAAATACTCCATCTGTATTAAATTATAAGGTATTTTTAAAAAAGTTTCTCCATCCCAAAATATAAGTCATTTTGAGAAGATTAAAGTTTTATTAAATAGATCAATTTTAATATTACCCATTTCTTTTTTTATAATTAATTTTCATCACTTTTCTTTTTAATATATTAAATTATGAGTATTTTAAAAAGTTTATATTTTTATTTTGAGAAGATAAAATTATTAAGTGTATTTAACAAAATTTATTAATATATAAAATTTTATTTAAAAATGTTTTATAATTGAAGGCGGAAGGAGTATTTTAAAGGGAAAATGACAATTAGGTCCTAAAGGACTAATTTTATTCAAGGTAAGTCCCAAGACATTCTGAAAGGTAAGTTAAGTCCCTAGGTCCTTGAGTAGCATTTTAATATAATGAAAAATGATCAAAATACCCTTATTTGGCTGATGAAAATTTAATGTTTTTCCTTTTCTACTCTTCCCTACCCTGTTCGTCATCCCTTCCTTCCCTGCCCTGTTTGTTGTCTCTTCCTTCCCTACCCTGTTCATCGTCTCTTCCCTGTCTCCTTGCAAGCGAGTAAAGCTCTCTGTCGTCTCTTCCCTAAGCTGTTCAATAAAGCTGTCTGTCATCTCTATTATAGTCCTGTTTGACGTCTCTTCTCTGCTCTAAGTGATCAGTTGCTTAAGTCATCAATCTGTAATCCGTTTTGGTCATTAATCTTTGATGGGTGTGATGTATTTGCCTAGCTGAAGAGTCTGATCCTCATCGACATTCACCATTTCGATTATGTAAAAATTGCTTCTTCTTCAATTTTTTTCCCTGAGTGTCTTAACTGAAGGGGGACTATGTAGTTTGTACAAGTGATGACATGCTCAAATGGATTTTAAGTTTGAAGTTATACATTGTACCCAATTAATCAAGTTTGCAACTTTGTAACTCTGTAATTTGTTTTCACAATTTTATTCCCAACTTCTAATATTAAAACATATTTATAATGTTCAAGTTATACATTATACCTAATCAATTAAGTTGTCAAGCAACTTAGATACCCAAATTTACAATTAGCTCGAGACAAATTTGCCACTGATTGTTAAAATTTTGGATGGAAGAACCATTGAATTTTTAAAAAAGTTATTATTCTAGGACAACGCTCCAGTAATTTGTAATTCAAACACCAGATTTTGCAACTGTCTTATGAATAATTTGCAACTTCTTTTCAAAATTTTGGGTGGAAGAACTATTGAATTCTTAAAGTTATTATAGGATAATGCTCCAGTAATTTGTAATTGAGACACCAGATTTTACAACTTTCTTACAAATAATTTGCACCTCCTTCTTAAAATTTTAGGTGGAAGAACTATTGAATTCTTGAACTTGCAAAGCTTCCAAATTATTTTAGGACATGGCTCCAATAATTTGTAACTGACATACCGGATTTTGCAACTTCATTACAAATAAATTGCAACTCCTTCTCAAATTTTTAGGTAGAATAACTTTTAAATTCTCGAACTTACAAAGCTATCAAATTATTTTAGGATAACGCTCCAATAATTTGCAACTAACATACCAAATTTTGCAACTTTACTACGAATAATTTGCACTTCCTTCTCAAAATTTTGAGTGAAATAACTTTAAATTCTTAAACTTGCAAAGCTATCAAATTATTTTAGGACATGACTCTAGTAATTTGCAACTAACATATTAAATTTTGTAACTTCCTTACGAATAATTTGCAACTCATTCTCAAAAGTTTGGGTGGAATAACTTTTGAATTCTTGAACTTACAAAGCTATCAAATTATTTTAGGATATAACTCCAGTAATTTGCAACTAACATACTAAATATTGCAACTTCTTTACGAATAATTTGCAACTCATTCTCAAAATTTTGGGTGGAATAACTTTTGAATTCTTAAACTTGCAAAACTACCAAATTATTTTAGGATATGGCTCCAGTAATTTGCAATTGACATACTAAATTTTGCAACTACCTTATAAATAATTTGCAACCTCTGTTTGAAATTTTAAGACAATACACTTTTAATGATTACAGAAGATATGAACTATACATATAAGTTGCATGTATTAATTCATCTAATGCATCTGCACATATCAGTTGTCCACATACACAAAAGCATGAACTTGGATTTATATAAGAGGGGTTTCTATGTACCAAAAAAATCCCTCAATACTACCAATATATATGTATAAAAACCTATATATGTTAACCAAATCTAACTTGATCTAAAACTACCCATATATATATATATATATATCACCTAAATCCAAGTTCATGTGATAACCCATTTACAATAACATCAACTTGGATTTAGATTTCTATACCTCTTTCGTATACGACCTGCTTCATGATAATGAGAACAACGATAAACCTTCTTCTACTGATATTGAGACTCAATCCTCATATGACAAGGTCTTCCAGCTAATTGAGATGTTCTAGGAGGCAGCAAAAAGGTTTGGCTTATAAGCTTAGATACTGTCAATGCATTTGGCTTTGACATCTTATGGGTCTCAACATGATGCATGGTGCTATTGTATATTTTCTCCTATGAACTACGAAGATAACATGCATAGTACAATACTATATTTGTAGATTTATTGTCTACAATCATCAGCACTCACAAAAATCTGCCCAGGTCCTACTAGCAAATCCTTCCACTTTGTTGCATTTAGCTCAGGCATTGGTGCTGGAATACTTTGTATTGCACATGGTAGAACTTCAAGATCTTGTGTGACATGTGAATTCTTAGCTGAACATCCTGCTCTGCATTTTCATTCAAATCATGTTTACTACTACCATCCATATTCACATTAGCATAATATTAATTATGCAATTATTAAAAAAAATTACCCATCAATTGAATCTCTTGTTGCCTTTGTACTTTGCTGTGTCTTCCCAATGATGTACACATGAGCAAAATTATCATTTAATTTCATTAATTGATTTATCCCTTCATCATCTTTAAGGTCTAAAAGAGCATTGCAATCAAATTTCACTGTGTACTTCAACTCTATTTTATCTAAGTCACAGTTCAAGCATGATGAAATCAATTTAACAAGTCATTCAAGAGATATTCCTTCTCTAATCATTTTTCCATTACAACTCCCTCCATCATAATGCATTGTCCCATGCATATCTTTTACAATATCTCCACCAAAATGAAAATAACAAAATTTTTTTAAACAACTATTTTCCATCGTACCCAATAATATCAACCTACAAGAAACAAAATAAAATATAATAATATATCGCTTAGAAACAAGTTGCTTTTGACATAAGTAATTTTCGCATCAGTTAAACAGTGACAACGTTTCATCTTAAAATATGGACACTTGATAGTATTTCTTACACTTTTAGTTGCAAAATGTTGAATTTTCATGCCAAATATTTAGAAACACGAAATAAAAAAAGATCTTTCATGTTCAGTTGCAGAAAACCGTTCCATCTTTTTCCTTACGAAAGCCATTTTAGAAGAAATTAGATCTTCATGGAGTAAACCTTTTTGTTCAGATGCAAGGATTTGTAAAAAAACAAAAAATACCTACCTACACGCATCAGCACAACTCCTTAAGCTTCCTTGAGTCAATAATTAAGGCAACTCACCTCTTCCAAGCATAACTATTTCAAGAATAGATGTTCTTTAACATACAGCTCTACCACTTACATGAAGTTCTCATTAATGGCGGGAAAGAGACAAATTGGGAGGAAAATATTGAAGCTGATGAGTGTACATGTTATATTTACTCATAAGGGCATTTTCGTCATTTCTTTCATAATTCTGATTGGGAAAAAACAGTATGGAACTTGATTGGCCTTTTAAAATTAATTGGGATTTAATTAATATAAAATTAATTTTTTGAGACTTGATTCTCATTTTCCCTATTTTAAACATTAATATTATCTTTGATAAAAAAAATCTAATATTATCTTTCCATACAAATTTTTAATATAAGGTCATCCTAGATAAAAAAAAAAATGAAGTCATTTAAAAAATATTAAAATTTTTGACAGACCTCATCCTGGCTTTTCAATTACCCTCCCAGAAGGGTTGCGTTCTGCGTTGGTCTTATCCTACTGACACGTAGGCCAACGAGTCCCTCCAATTTAGTGGACGAGAGACACGCCCACGTAGTGATCACCAAACTTAGGTGGGAACCACTGCTTTTCAAAGCTTCCCCGATCATTTCCCAATGCTCCAAAAAATCGGCCACCATGAACGGTCCGTGTCCTATTCTCTACATCAAGGTCTATCCCTAGTCCCTACGAGGCTACAACATCATTCTCGCGCTCTCATGCGCTTCCATATGTTTAATTCGGGTGCATTGCGGGTGTTTATGGTGCAGGCGACCACACCGTAGTGGTCCTCCTCGTAGGGACGGAACATCGCGTGACTGGAAATCGGCGTAGTGGAAGTAATCTTTGGAAAGCGGCCTTGGCGATTTCCCGGCCTCATGTTGGGCACCGCACATATACGCAAAACCACACATTTAGGCAGACCAGCCCGCCACATTCGAGTTCTTCTCATTCTCTCTCCTCTACTTTCTCTCTCTAACTTTTGAGTCCATGTGCTTCTGCTCTGAGCATGAACTCCACCACTTCGAATTCTCAATCAATGGCGACCTCGACGCCCACTGACGGGTCTGGCAAGAAGGTGAGAAAGCCTTATACTATAACCAAGTCGAGGGAAAGCTGGACCGAGGAAGAGCATGACAAGTTTCTTGAAGCTCTTCAACTGTGAGTCTCAAATGCTTCTTCCCTGTTAATTTTCACTCAACGATGTCTCCACTTTCTGTTTTTCTTTTGAGCGTTAATCTGATCTAGCTTCTCTACTTCCCGCGCCAAATTGAGTATTTCTAGATTGTTTTAGATCAAGCTGAGAATGCGTTTCTGGTTCTTTATCTTCCTTCTTGATCCTTAATATTGCCGCCGCAAGTCTCCCAGTCTTTGATTGCCTCCACAATTCAATTAGCCTTTTTAGTCATTCTTTGAGTCGGTAACCATTTCGAATTCCTCTCGACCTCTTGGAGAATCCATTGGGGCAAAGGCGTGTAGGTTGAACATTTCTGGACTGGAATGGGTGGACGGGGAGCTTGTTTGAGAAAGTTTTCACATTAAAATAAGAAAATGAGAAAATTTAAATGAGAGAACTTTACCAATTACCATTACTGTGCTAGCTTTTTGTCAGGCATTTTTTTTTTTAAAAAAAACGCGTCAATGTTCATATTCTATCATGATTCGACGGATAACTCGCCATTTTTCACTGCATTTATATCAGGGTAGTTTATTTGAGTTTTCAAGAGTACTGCAATTATTTATCAAATAAACTCTGCAATTAAATTTCTGACGTATAGTTGGATTATTCAGATTTGACAGAGATTGGAAGAAAATTGAAGATTTTGTTGGTTCAAAAACAGTTATTCAGGTTAGAAGACAGTATTTCGTCTCTGATTCTTAATTATTATGTTTCATTCAGGCCTTATTTGTTGCTAGTTTCTTTTTTCTCTCCCAAGATTCGAAGCCATGCCCAGAAATACTTCTTAAAAGTTCAGAAGAACGGGACAATTGCACACGTGCCTCCTCCTCGACCTAAGCGCAAAGCTGCTCATCCGTACCCACAAAAGGCACCAAAGAATGGTATTCTCCTATGTCGATTGTAACATTCTCCTGTTCCAAAATGCATAATGTTTTTCACACCCCTGACATCATCTCTGGGTTGGCAGTTTTGGTTCCATTGCCGGCATCCATGGCTTTCGTTTCTTCAACAAATACTATTGCACCTGGGTATACCACATGGGACGAAACTTCAGTGCCGATTAATGCTGGATCAAACAGATACATACCCTGTCAGGAAGAAATCACCACCCTTCATGGGAATGAAGGCATGCTTACGTATTTCTTTTGTTTTTAATTTGACATAGACAGTATGGACTGGCTGAATTAAAGGGAACTTTCCACCACTTATTATGCATATGACGTTACTGATTCAGCTGATATTGGATCAAAGGGGATATCAAGGATTAGCAACAGCAGTCTCAGCGGTGTTGAAACCTCTACTAGAATGCTACAAGGTTCTGAGATGCCAAAGCAAGGGAAACAAGGTCCAGTGCTTCATGGTAATCTCCTTCTATATATAATTTTTTATTTTTTTACATTCTTTTCCTCATTGATTATTATTAGCTGGTTATAATTGGTCCGTTGACCATATGCCACAGGCTTACCAGACTTTGCTGAGGTTTATAGCTTTATTGGAAGTGTATTTGATCCAGATACAAAAGGACATGTCCAGAAGCTGAAGGAAATGGATCCTATAAATTTTGAAACTGTGAGTTCATTTATATCTATTAGAATTTCCTAGATGCAACCCCTCTGATACGTGTGTATCATCCTCTCTTATTGCTAGAAGCAATTAAAGGTTAAAAATAAGCTGAAAAATCTGATTCTGAGTGTTATATATATTCCCACGCTTGATTTAACTTTAGATTCCTGGATATGAACCTTGTTTCCTGTCATAGTTACGTAGTGGAACCATAATGCATCTTGACATATTTTTTCTTTTTTGAATTGCAATTTACATTTCGCTTGACATTGCTTAAACTAGAACAAGTTCTCGAAGTCATCAAGTATTGATCTTCTTCTTCTTGTTTTTTTTAAAATAGAGTATTTGTGGGTTGATACAATGATACTATTTCCCACTTTACATTCAAGGCTTAAATAATGCATTGGTCGTATTTTCATGGCATCTATTAGTCACAAGATAATGGAACATCTCGCTTAAAATATACTTTCTACAGTTTAGGCATGATAATCTTTTACAGATCTAGTCAATATCGGGAATGATTGTGGGACATGAGGCTGATCTCACCCACCCTTTTAAACTTGATATATATTGTCCCCAGACCGCAACAAAAAAGAATGAACAGCAGGGCAAAAAGAAAGCAATACTTAGGGCGTGTTTGGGATATCAGAATTGAATGGAATAATCATTAACAAAATGGAGGGGAGTGACAATTCATGTTTCATGCTTCATTCAACTGTTTGTGAGTTTTATGGGGTGAAAGGATGGTCGTAATTGACCATCATTTGAGAGTTCTTATAGAAATATTATAGAATATAATGGATTATAATTTCTTTTCAATATTGTCGTTATGAGATAATTTAAATGGAAGAGTGTGAAATAAATTCTTATTTCATGACTTTTTCATGGCTCGTAATAGCTTAGTAGGAACATATAACCCAAAAAAAAAATTATAATAATACACTGTACATAAAAATTTATTCATAACCTCTTTTATGCATGTACTGGACCTTTTATTTTTAAATTAAAATTTTTAAAGATAATCAATAATCATTTAAAAATTATGTTACTGGACAAAAGTATTATTGGAATTTTATTGGCCGCCGCCGCCACAAACAGAATACAACCAAAACAAAAAATATCTGGAGATATACTTGGGTTTTGTATTAATACAACAGAATTACCAGTAGGTGCCTTTTTCTCTGCTTCTTTTACTCCTTTCTGTTTACTGCTATTGGTTTTGGGGAAGAAATATTTAGATTTAGGCTGAGTTCTGTCACAATTCTTTTAGAATGACATTATATATGCATGTGTGGCCCTTGCCAATGGCATTCTTCGTTAAATAACTAATTTTTTGACACTTTTCTTAACTGGTGGTGGTTAATAGCAAGGCATAGACTTTAGTCTTGAACGTGAGTTGATAATCTTGGCTTTTGATAGACCAGTTGAGAAAGAACGCTGGGATCAAAGGACACATGAACTTTTGTGGGAGAACTAGCCATGCATGAAAATCTGTCAGTTTTCATCGACAGGATTTCAAATAAGAATCAGTTGATTATGATTTTTGTGATGTAACTAAACCATTATAGGCATGAATTCTTCAAACCAATGTAGAAACTCAGTCCAGTTAGTGCAAACAAACTCATAAATATTTTCAAAATTAAATAACATAGAAGGTGTAAATCAGTGTTTGAGTCTTGTAGAAACCCTTATGTTATGAAATATGAATATAGCCAAAAGGCTTCTGAATCCTGGTATCATCATATTTTGAATCTCGGCAGGCGCATCTTGTAAGCTAAACGGACTTTCATAAACTCATGAATGTCAGTTATGAGTGAAACTTGGACAAGCAAGTTAATTCTGAATTTCTTGAAGGAGAGGGAGTTTGTCAGAACAATTTTTTGTATGTGGTTTTTTGCGGGTGATATCCACGGATGAGGATTATTTTTCATATGATTGGGGTGAGGGGTATTCTTATAGTTATAATATATATATATATATATAATTTTTGGTTATTCTATCTTTGATTCCCACTTTGGGAGACAGGAAAAATTGGATTCATGATAGCTAATGATTTTTTGAAAGGCCATTCCTTGCCATTTTAATTCCTTCTCAAAATTTCTTCAGAACAATGGCTAAAGTTTTTTTGCATTCTACTCGATCCAAAATAAAATTCCCAAACACATAGTTATTTTATAACTTGCTTTGATTTTTCATTTCTGAGCTGACTGTGGATTGACAAGTGTATAATTTTATTTGGTTGTCTTCTGTAGGTTTTGTTGCTGATGAGAAACCTCACTGTCAACTTGTCTAGCCCTGACTTTGAGCCTTTTGTAAGCTTCAATATCAATTTTAAATATTGTAATCATTTTCTTTTACAAATCATTTTATCTTTTAATTAGATAGTGCAATAGTGCAAATCATTTTCAGTGGATATCCTTTGCCGTGAGTGATTTAAGATGAAAAGCTTATCCTCTGCTTTGCCTTTGGTAGGTTATGCAGCGACTGAGTCAAACCAGTTTTATTTTTGGGATGCCGGGAAGAGTCATATATGGAAAAAGAAAACATTTTTATTGTTGTCCATGGTTGATCTTGGTTTATGACTAAACATAGATGAACATTTTATACGATTTATTTGTGAATTTGAGCTGAACTTGTTCATTTTATTGGCTTGTTTAGAAGGTGGTTTTGTCATCATATGTTGCCAGTACGAAGACAGCAGAAGTTACCGCAGGAATTGCTGCTAAAAAGGAAACAACAAACGATCTATCATGTCAACCTGCTTAACAACTGGAAATTAGCTGAATGGTATGCAATTTTCATGATCGCATGTTCTGTAGTTTTGTTTTATTTACCTATTTATGCCTGTAACGTCTGCTTCTACAGTTAGGAGGGTCCAATTTGCATGGAAAGATGCCATTTTGCTCAGCCTCCAGCAAGGCAGGGAAGTGTCTTGGCCTCGCTGTGAACTGAAACCTGTAAATGTGACAATATGCCTTTGTAACCCCAGCCCATGAGAATACGTAAAGGAATGCTGAAAGAGCAGAAATGTTATCCAGCTGATTCTAAGGTCCATAGGATCGTAGTATTGCATGTGGTTCTTGTAGCTGTACTAGAGATGTTGCCCCTTCCAACTCACCCTTAGGTCAGTGTTATAAAATATTTTTGATGTTCTAGTGCATTTTACAATTAAAAATGAACTCGAAAGTCTAGCATACTTGGTTCCGTGGTTCACTCCCTAAACCCTAACCCCACCCCCCCAACAAAAAAAAAAAAAAAAAATCCGGTTGAGTCGCTATTTTAACGCTCATTAGCTTCATTAGTTTGAATGAAGCGAGCATTTTATTATTAAGAGAGCTTTTAATTTTTCCCGGTTGGTTATTCATTTACTTTTGTTGGGGTTGTGTTTGCATTTATTTTTCTTTCTTTTTTTAAAAAATGCAGATTCTTCTCATGTAACAGTCATTTGTATGACCCACTCCCACTGCCTATCTTGAATATCAACAGGAGGGACTAAGGTCATGTTTGGCAGGCGAGATGAAACTTTATAAGGGAGATTAACTGTCTCATGATAGCTTGAGACCGTGCTTTCCTAAAAGTAAAAAAGGGGTGGAAATGGTGGAAGCTCTTCGGAAAGAATGATTTCTTGACAACGTTTCAATTATTCCAGTTACCCTAATAACAATATGTTAAAATTATATCTTGCTTACGAATTAAAAAAGCAGACATAATATTTAAAAATAATGATATAATATTAAAATAATTATAATTATAATATTGCAGATAATGTACACTAAAATGTTTCAAACGCTATTTTTAAAAATATATCGAGTTTAAGAGTTAAAAGGTTATCATAATAAAAAATTTAATTGGGGGTAATATAAATCTTTTTAGCATGCTTGCTCTGCCACATGGCATTGATTGTTCGTATTCTATTTTGAGCTAAAAAATTATTATTCATACTCTCTCTGTCCCTTAAAAAGAAAAAAGTGCAACGAAACGTCTCCTAATTAGGATTGGATGTCTCAGAGACCTTTTGATATATTTATTTCAAAAACTCGAGATCTCAGATATTCTCTCGCCCAGAAGGCCGGAATACAATAATACCGGTAACTAAGCGAGCGCGTACGTGTAAAGAAATGAAATCCAATCGAAAAATACTTAAATAAATTGAATATATCACGTGATTTATAATGTATTCAATAAAAACATGATATATAAATAATATTAAATATAAATTAATTTTAATATTAATAATAGTTGAAAGAGAAAATATAAGAAATTAAATATATATTTTGTTATAAAAATAAAATTAATTTAAAAAATATCACACAAAATTTTATTTAAATCACTTAAAATATTTTAATTAAATAAATTATAAATAATGAGGTACATTTAATTTATTTAAATATTTTTCAATCTCATCACTAATCCGGAAGAAGGCTCACCTCAACCCAACTGTCTTAATTTTCTTTTTTTTCACCCAACATTTTACAACGGCTTGTACTTGGCCCATTTTGCTGAAAGGGCACAGACCCAAAACTCAGTTGTTAAAATTACCCATTTGCCAAGGTGCTATATATCTGATTGTAAACAATTGGAAACACCGAGTCCGCCCAAAACCCTAGCGTTCCATCTGTTCCTCGACCCTTCCCTCATCCGCGATGGCTGCAGCAGTTCGTCCACTCGTCAGCGTACAAGTTCTTGAGGGCGATATGGCTACCGATGAAGCCCAGACAGTTCCACTTCCTGATGTTATGAAGGCATCGATTCGACCCGATATCGTTACATTCGTCCACTCCAACATTTCCAAGAACAGTCGGCAACCCTATGCTGTTAGCAAGCACGCCGGACACCAGACATCCGCCGAATCATGGGGTACCGGTCGTGCAGTGTCCCGTATCCCCCGTGTCCCGGGTGGTGGTACCCACCGCGCCGGTCAGGGGGCTTTTGGTAACATGTGTCGCGGTGGACGCATGTTCGCTCCTACGAAGATTTGGCGTCGCTGGCACCGTAAGATCAATGTCAATCAGAAGAGATACGCTGTCGTTTCAGCTATTGCTGCTTCCGCAATTCCATCCCTCGTTTTGGCCCGTGGGCACAGAATTGAGTCTGTGCCCGAAATGCCTCTGGTGGTCAGTGATTCTGCTGAAGGTGTTGAGAAAACTAAGGAAGCCATCAAAGTGCTGAAGAAGATTGGTGCTTTTCCCGACGCCGACAAGGCAAAGGACAGCCATGCAATCCGTCCTGGTAAGGGTAAAATGAGAAATCGCCGATACATTTCTCGCAAGGGTCCTCTGATTGTGTATGGAACTGAGGGAGCAAAGGCTGTGAAAGCTTTCAGAAATATTCCTGGAGTTGAGATCGCGAATGTGGAGAGATTGAACCTTCTTAAATTGGCTCCTGGTGGTCATCTTGGGAGGTTTGTTATTTGGACCAAGTCTGCTTTTGAGAAGCTGGATTCGATTTATGGATCGTTCGACAAGCCATCTGAGAAGAAGAAAAGGTACTTTCTTCCTAGAGCTAAGATGGTTAATTCTGATTTGGCGAGGATCATCAACTCCGATGAGATTCAGTCCGTCGTGAGGCCCATCAAGAAAGAAATTAAGCGGGCCCCACTCAAGAAGAACCCGCTTAAGAATCTCAATGCTATGTTGAAACTGAATCCATATGCTAAAACTGCCAAGAGGATGTCACTTCTGGCTGAAGCGCAGCGTGTGCAAGCAAAGAAAGAGAAGCTTGATAAGAAGAGGAAGTCTGTCTCTAAGGTGCGTTTTTCCATAAGAAAGCCATTCTTGTGCAATCATCACTGTCTTATTGTTAAAAAGCATCTTCGGTTTCCATCTCTTGAGTAAATATCGCTAGTTTACTTAGAGGTTCAATTGTTTAGCTTAATCCCCGTTCTGTGAATGATGTAAGAGTTGGTTATATTTCTTATCATCAATTTAAGTCATTTGATGTGACGTGCATAGATTTATTTCACATCCCATTCACTGCTAATACTATGTTTTTAGTGAAAGAATATTGTTTTTATGATCGGAGGCATCTGTAAGTTGTTTCATTTCTTGGATGTTTATTTGTGACTTTGTGTTGCGCTATGATCTAGCAGCCTGTTTTACTTTGTCAATGGAACGTGTTGAGAAATGAAGACAAGACATTAGTATAGGTTCATACAATATGTTTGGAAGAGTCTAAGTTAAGTAATGATGTTCCACGTATTAATTTTGCTGGCGTACCCCCTTTTTTTAGCTTTGATTATATATTGTTGCTAGTTATTTGCATGCTTTAGATTAGAAATTGGTTTAATCGAGTTTCGTCTGCATTGTCAGGAGGCGGCTTCTGCTATAAAGGCTGCTGGAAAAGCATGGTATCAAACGATGGTGTCTGATTCTGGTTACACGGAATTTGAGAACTTCTCTAAGTGGTTGGGTGTTTCCCAGTGAAGTAAATCACAAAGATTTTGTCTTTTGTTTCGATTCTATTGCATCTCGTTTGCATTTTTTTTGACATATCGATCATAGCCCATAGGTGGGAGGAAAGCTAGCTAGACGACGGAGATCATAGATTTTTTGTGCCTTTTATCTCCCACCACAACCTAACTGGCCTTTACTGGTTAGTTGAGAGAGATTTTATAATTAGGATTGCATTTGAATACTTTGTGATCCCAGTTGTCGCCATACCGCATTTGAAGTCAGACCATATGAAATTTTCTCTGTTGAGTGATATCATCACCCATTTTCTTTTTCCCATCAGCAGTATATCATCAAAGTATATATACCACAAGCCAATTTTCTCCTGTTACTTTGATATTTATTTGTCCTCAATTTTGTATTTGCCTAGCAATCTGCACTTTAGAATTATCCTAGTTCAGATGTTGAGAACTGCTGCACTGAAAGTTGGGTAATCACTCATGAAGACATCCTAAGCGTAGGGGAGATTTGTTATTCTGCATTTTTGCACTTTTTCGTTCTCTTTTTGGGTAAAATTGCCTATATGGACTAAATGATAATCATATTCCTCCCTGAGGATCTCTGCATTATAATTCAATTTCTCAATTCAAGCATGTCGTTTAAATCCAATTGAAGTGAGACTAACTGAACTGTTAATCACTGGAATTAAATAAATAGAGTGTTCTGGGGAAAATAAATAAATAAGTGTGTGTTTGGTGCCGAGCTGTACGTGATCTGGAAACAGAAAATGTGAAGTGGGAAATAGTAACTTCAGCGCCAAATTATATATCGTCCAGGCGAACCGAGTTCGGTTTCTACCCAATGAGTGACGTGTCATATGAAGTTTGAATCCTTTTGTAAAATGTACAATGCATTTATCAATGAATGAATCAAAACAACTGTTAACAAACTAAGCAGGCGTGGGTTCTCAACAAGTGGCCAGTGGCCACTGCCATTTATCCTACCACACTGCCAATTACTGGTACTTTTGGATATGCGGTCGTCTTTGAAAATAGCTGTGAACTCTGGAGTAAAATTAAATGGGTTGATCAAATTTATAAACTAATCTCTTAAATTTATAAAAGATTTTGATCAATCCCATATTATCATTTGATCAATTTGTTTTTAAAGTTTCATGCAATTCTAAGGGCCTATTTGGATATTGTCTATAATTAATTTTAGAATTCAAAATCATGATTTTGAAAACATTTATCCAAACACCTTCATTGGAGTGTGTTTGGATTTTAATTGACAAAAAAATTGATTAACATAATATGAGAATATTTGGATAAGGGTTTTTAAAATTGGTTTTAAAAAGTTGAAGATATTTGAATAATTTTTTTAAAATTAATTTTAAATGTGTAAATTACAATAAAGGATATTTATTTTTATAATGTAATATTAATAAAATTAATCTATGTAAAAAAATAAATCACTGTATCAACATGAAATAAATTTAAATATATGTATGCTAAATATGAATTATGATCTTCGTGAAACAGGATGGCACCATAGCATTTAATTATGCTCCAACAAGGATCTCAATGACCTTTAATTATTTTTATACTAAAAAGAAATGCACAGTCGGAATTCTAAAAATAAATTTTTTTTTTGAAAAGGATGGATTCGAAACAGTTCCTAGGAATGAATTTCCTGTACCCCACCCTCAACTGTCAAATCCTCTTTTTGATGGAATAATAGCAAAAATCACTGCCATCTTGCTTTACAAAGCAAAGGGGGCACCGCTGCAAGCATAGGAGACCTTGGAGAAGACGCTTGGTGTGAGGGGTAGGAACAAGAGTCTCAGATTTTTATCCCCCATCAATCACAATGGATTCACCAATGGAGGAAAATTTAGCTTTTTCAAAATGGAGTTTTGGAAAGGAAATGGAGCTTCAGAAATAATTTTGCCAAAGCCAATCTCACATTTGCAATGATATGCTTATTTAAGAAATCGGGCCTGTTACAGAGCCGTCTGAAAAATGCGAAGGCAATGTCTGGTACAATTTGGAGTTTTGCACTGAACACAGGGCAGCTGCAATTTTTTTTTAAATTTTAACAAATAAATAAAGAAAAACTTCTATTAAGACCCATAGACTATAGTTCATAAAAAGGAAAATCTGAGAAATTTTGAAAATTTATTGCAAATTAAGACCATTGAATTGAAATTAAAATGGACAATAAAAAAACATGATTATCCCTGTTGAAAGAGAACAAAATAGCGGGAGGAAGAGACGGAAGCGCGGGAAGGCTCCCTATCATTATTATCATCCCTATTCATCGATTCTATTTGCTCCGTCAACAAACCCAGGATCGTCCTTTCTTCTCGGTCTCTCCGAATTGATTCCATTTGCTTTTATCGGTTGCAGGTATGTGCAAAATCACATGTTATCTGGGACATTGCTACCCGGCCTTTTGAGTAGAGAATTTTACTTGTTAAAAACAAAAAAACTTTCATTGCGAAATATTAAAAAAATAATTATCCAGAAAAAGTGAAGGAAATGATGGGCAGGTTCAATCTAAGGATAATTGCTGATTATAATGAAGTTATTTAGAAGGCTATTTACGTACACATGGCTGGATTTTGGAGCTTAATCTTCGCAAAAGCTATTTTGTTTCTCAACAACTACGTACTCTGCAAACATCAATCTTCATAAAGAGAGCAGAAAAAAGACCCCCTTGTCCACTTATTGCTTCATCTGTTGCGGCTGGAATTCTAGCTACATTAATTGCTGTCACATGTGGCCTGTTTGCGTTCTTTAAAGGAAACATAGGAACTAATACGCGAGGTAGGAATCGTGGATAATTTATATATTGTCTGTCAGGATATGTTGAGGTCTAACATAATTTATGTATGTTTTCCGCTTTTTATAGATGATAAGGGTACTCAAGAGATTGCTGCTTCCGCAGAAGGTGCTTGTCACTTCAGCCGTCGTGAACTTGAAACTGCTACAAAAAAGTTTTCGAGCAATAATCCGGATCAAGGAGAAGAAGAGTTCTTCTTCAATGAGGTAAGTAGATAATAACCTGCATTTAATAAGCCTCTTGGAGTATTTTTCCCACATTGAAGATATCGATCCCTGCATGCTTCGTTTAATGCCATTTTCATATCGTCATCTATGTTGTTTGCTTTATTCTAACAATAAGCCCCTTCAATCTCATTAAAGGGGAAAAATTATTAAAAAGCACATTGTTTTCGAATAAATCATGTAGCTCACTTTTTTATGGGAACAAATACGGGAGCTATGAAATTTATCGTTTACGTTTTAATCAAGTCATTTTTATGTTTAAAAATCAATTTCTTTTTTGCGTTGATCCAGGTAACGCTTCTTTCAAAGATGCATCACAGAAACTTGGTACAGCTTCTTGGTTATCGCCTAGAAGGAGAAGTCAGAATTCTTGTTTAAGGGTTAATGCATAATGGAAGTCTGAGGAAACAACTTGATGATACCGGTAAGCCCACTTGATTTAAACAAAGCGCAACGTCCATATACTCAACTTTGCTAACTTCTTTCAGGCCCATCATCACTTCAAAGTAATCTCAATTGGAGCCAGCGCCTTCAGATTGCAAAAAATGCTGCCAGAGGTTTCGTTAAGAATAATAATTTAGACTGAAAAGTTTGATTGCCATTTCTCTTGTTGAGAGTTTGAGGCTTTTATTTGTATGCTCAGGGATCGAATATATTCACTGTGGCCATGCTGCTGTGGTCGTCCATGGAGACTCGAAAAGAGATAATATTCTTCTTGACGACAGCATGAGAGCAAGGTTTCAGGTTTTGGCCTTCCGAGACTTGGATCTGGCGGCCGAATAGGGGATATGGACCCTGAGTGAGGCCTTTGCATGCCAAGCGAAATCGTAGTCTTCCATTTTTAATAGTCAGTCAGAGTTGATCAATAACCATTGGACGTTTCATATAATTAACACGTCAGAAAAACTTTCGTTAATCAGGTTCCGTAGTCCCCACAAGGATGTTTATAGTTTTGGAGTAATTCTTCTGGAACTGATGTCGGGTTAACAGGCAGGCACTGATGATGGGAGCCAAATGATCGTGGAGTGGGTGATGATTTTGATTTCCCCTAAAATTCTAATAAGTCGATGAAATATTTGTGCTTGAGCCAAGTTTTGAACTTGAATGAATTAATTGTATGACAGGCAGACTCGCACATCGGCACAGGAGATATACAGGCTATTATGGATCCCTCTCTAGGCGAGGATTGCGACGTGAAATCAGTAGAGAGAATAGCAGCGTTAGCGAAGAAATGCGTGAAACCTCAACTGGTTGAGAGGCCGCCAATTTCAACTATTTTGGAGGAGATCCAACGGGCAATCTCTGTAGAGATAAATAAGGGAAAGGGCATTCATTGAGCGGCGTCATTGTAAAGCAGCACAGAGTCTTACTTGCAGGTAAGCACGCTGTTTTCCTTTCTCTTTTCTACTTCTTGCAAATGACAAGTTGACTAAGCACTCTCACGTAGCCGAGAAACCTTCAACGTTAAACAGTGTACTCTTTCGCCCTTATCCTGTCTTGTGTTCATGACGTTTTTTCCTCCATGCATATTAATTACTTGACCGCATCAATATAACCGGTCACATATTAACAGCGTGTAACATGCTGGTGCCATAACCTGATTCCAACCCCCCACCCTCCAAAAAGAAAAACAAAACAAAAACAAAAACAAAAAAAGCAAAAACAAAAAACAAAACAAAACAAAATAAAAACAAAAAAAAAAACTGACTTCCCTTTTTTACGCGACAGTTCTTTCTTCACATACAGTTTTAACCAAGGTGAATATAATTGTGCAGACATTCTCTTAATTTTTTAACTGAAATGGTTTTTACTGATCTAAATATATCAGTATATAGTATGTCTAATGTATAGAGAAATGGATATGAATAAAAAAAATATTTTGCTTTGAAACATTTATAATTTATTATTATTATTTAAAAAAATAAGAATAAAAAGGTGTAAGTTTCGTTCCCATTAATTTTAACACAAAATTATAAATTTTATTATTATTTTAAAAAACGTGAAAATAAAAAACTTAACGATGGCGTAATTGGTACGAATCGGCGCCTGATAGGGCCGAAACCCTAAAGAAACCCGGCATCGCAGATCTCAACACGTGGTCGAATGAAACCGCCAGCACTCAACTGAGAGAGAGGGAGAGTGTTAAAAAGCGAGCAAAGGAGGCAGAAACCCTTGTTTGTCGTCTAAACAAAACGGACGGTGCTGATAGGCCTCGCTCTCGCATCTCAATCGTCTCCGCTCTCCTTTCTTCTCCAGCGTCCGATCGCTCTCCATTCTCTCCGATCCATACCTCTTTAAACTCGCGCCAAATACAAATTCATTCCTTCCTCTCAGGTTTCCATCCTCCTCCTCCTTTCCCTTCATCCCTAACACGTCCTTTCCCTTCCCGAGGTATTCGCTTAGATCCGCATCTAGGGTTTCTCTTCACGCGATTTTACCATGTTTTTCTTTGATTCCCCTGTTGCTTTAGGGTTCCGGCGACGATGGCTGAAGCTCCGGGCAGTCCAGGCGGCGGCAGCCATGAGAGCGGTGAGCATAGCCCTCGCTCTAATGTCCGTGAGCAGGACAGGTTTCTTCCCATCGCCAACATCAGCCGAATTATGAAAAAAGCACTTCCTGCTAATGGAAAAATAGCCAAGGACGCAAAGGAGACTGTGCAGGAATGTGTTTCAGAGTTTATCAGCTTCATCACCAGCGAGTATGTTACTTACTTTATTGTGCGTGTACACACTCTTCTCTACTGTATAGAATGTACTATAAGGCTGTTTCTCTTGGCTTAATTATTTTGAGCTCATCTGATATAGGGCGAGTGATAAGTGTCAGAGAGAGAAGAGGAAGACAATTAATGGCGATGATTTACTTTGGGCGATGGCAACTCTAGGTTTTGAGGATTATATTGATCCCTTGAAGATTTACCTGGCCAGATACAGGGAGGTAATTTATATTTACAGTGTCGTTCATTTTTCTTTAAATGCTGAGAAACACAAAAAAGAAAAGGTTGGTGGATAAAGTCCAGAGTCTTGATCTATTATAAGTAACGGAAGTACTGCACACAATCATCGTGTTATTCTGTTAAGCTTTGCAATTTACTGATGGCATTATTTCATGTTTTTCAACGATTTCCTCGGGGGCTGTTGGGAATGTTGCAGATGGAGGTAAATATTATTAATCTTTATGCTATTTGAGTACTATTTTCACTTTCCATTTTTTTGGACTTCTGTAACTTCTTGTTTATGATGTGTTTTCTAATTATGGCATGTCAGGGTGATACCAAGAGTTCTGCAAAAGGTGGAGATGCATCGGCCAAGAAAGATGTTCAACCTAATCCTAATGCTCAGGTGGAATATATGTAGATGCACTATGCTTTAGATGCTGAACATTTATCTTAGGTTGCAATAGCATCTTATGTTGCCATATTGTGTGTGAAATTGACAGCTTGCCCATCAAGGTTCATTTCCCCAAGGTGTTAATTACGCAAATTCCCAGGTAATCCCTTTCTGCCTGACTCTTCTCTTTTCTATGGCATCATGTTGATAAATGGAGTTGAGAGTGTGTTTTTAAAATGTTTACTTACAATATAATTATATATTTCACCTATATTTCCCTCAAGATAGAAATTTAGTGCTGGGGAATACATTTTTTTAAAATTTTTGGAGAAAGCATTTATAACTATTGGTGATAGATTCACTGAAGGACTTTCTATGATCGATATCCTTTCTTTTCAACAGCTTTTAGTTGAGCTTAGTTAACGAACTTTTACAATATGGTGTTTCCAGTAGCATTTTGATTGGTTTTTAAAAACATATTGATTTTTGATAAGGTTCATCTTCTAATTAATGCCTGATGACATTCTAGTCTCTACAAGTAAGTTGTTAAATTTATTTAGTGGCTAGTTGGAATTCATGCCCCCCCCCCCTGAAGTAGCTGGAGATAAAATTATCACCACAGGTTAATACTTAAGTCCAGTGCGATCTTTTGATCCCCCTGTCTCTCCACTCTCTAGGATTCGTTCAGTAGATTTGTGTTTGGATATTTTTATTGGTTGACTTAATTCTGGTTGAGCATTTAAAGTGCGTCATTGATTCTGTCTTCTCATTTGATTGTACAAACAGTGGAAAATGTTAGCACTGTGCCGGCCCTTGATAGATAGAAGGTGTAATTTGGACAGACTTTAAAGAGAAGTTAGTGTGATTTACTTTTTTTTTTTAAAATCTCTTACTAAAACTTCTAATTGTGCGAATGTTGCTATTGGATTAGTCTATTGCTTGCTTCCTTTTGGAAGTTCTAATTTGGCTCTTCCTCAAATGTATTGTTTGTGAAACGCTATCTTAATTGGGGTTGTGCTTTTTTAATTTCATTTTTTTTTCATGTATAAATTATTTTTTTGGATAAAATAATAAAATCGTTTCATGTTGGTGGCAAGACATGTGATTTACCTCGGTTATGAATTTATGAGACAAGTATTTATTAAATCTAACTTGTATTTTTGCCACAGGCTCAACATATGATGGTTCCTACGCAGGGTCCAGAGTAGTCATTGGTATTTGTTAATCCGTCCCTCCGTTGTCAGTGGAGTTATGGTCCCCAAAAATAAAATCTCCAGTGGAGATTTATTCGGTGCCCTCGGCTTTCTGAATGCATTTAATATTTTGTGAATACTGACATTAGGAGATCGTGGTTCTCGTGTCCAGATAATTTTTATCAAGGTTTGTATATTAGTATTGGAGCAGTTTTACTATTTCTGGGAGCTTTATTGTAAATCCTGGATTGCATGTTTGTTTGATTCCATTAGGAGGAAGGCTTTAGCATTATTCACTCATGATTTTATGTAACTGATTGGAAAAAAATAATTTGCTATATTATTTTCGTATCCATTGGACAAAGCGGGCGTCTGGCTCTTGTTTTTTCTTCTTTATCCCCCCTTTAAGTTAGGGAAAATTTTCAAGTTATTTTTTCTACTCAGTAGGTGGATAGATTAGACGAAAAACCTGATGGGAGATAGACATGCGTTCAATTGTCCCGAACATATTTGCATTGAGATTTGAGAATTGTGGGGCCATAAATGTCTCAATAAAAAAATAAATTCTAGGTTGATTTTCTTTTGATCATAGTTGTAAGAAATAACAATACATTGTTTGTTGTATTTACTTTTTTTTTTTTGGGTCTTCATTAGAAAGGAATTTTATTAATGAGACCAATTATTAAAAGGAATCAGATAATTGTTAAAAGAAAGTATTTTAAGAAAAAAACTTGCATTTATTACATGTTTATTAGTTGACCTAATTTTAAATGTATTTCTTAATTCTTAAAAGTAGTTATTCACCTTTTATTTTCAAAATAAAGGTTGAGAATCATGTGTACATTTTTTGTGTGACAAATTTGTGTTTAAAGTTTTAATTAATTAATTAGTAATTGATTGATCTTGGTCTTTGCATTTTTTTTGAAAAAATGTAGTGAAGTCTATAGTCTTTATTATTTAAACTCTTGTTAATATAATTAATCTAGTTATTTTTTAGTTTTATTTAAGGGTTAAAGTGTATTTTTTGTTTTTGAAATATTTTTTTAAAGAGTATTCAACACCTTGTTTTAACATAACATTTTTATTCTTTTTATTAAATTTTTTTAATTAAAAAAACAAAAACACTTCATTTTAGTAACTTTAGATAAAATCATTTTAATAAAATGTTAAAATGTTGGGTGTTAGTACAAAAATTTTTCAGAGGTAACTTTTACTCTTTATTTAATTTTGAACGGTTATTGTCTTATTGACCGATCAACACCGTTTTGTGGTTGAAGATTTTACGTTTTTGTTTGCGATATTATATCGTGCGAAAGGCACCAGGCTTCATTAGAAACTACAGGACGTAATGCCCAAAACGTAGAACCTGCAATTTCCATAAAACCTGCAAACGGATCCAGCTGGTCTCTTATCCTCTGCTCAAACTCAAGACAGTCCTCACATCACCTTCTTTCGTGCTTTCCCAAATGAAGCAGTCATGAATGCTTCCCTGCTACCTCCTCCACTGCCACCCATCTTCTCTTCTTCTTCAGTCTCTAACCCGTGCCCTCTTCACTGCGTCTCTTCTCCTTTCACTCTCGCCGCCTCCAGACCCGCTCGCTCCTTTCTCGTTGGCGCGGCTGCCAACTACGCCGATCCATCAGACCTGTCTCCGATTTCCACCACTTCTGACCTGACTGTCGAAGCCCTAGATCAGAAACTGCTAACGCTCCTCCGCCAAAGGAAAACAGAAGAGGCCTGGATTGCCTATACCAATTCCACCCACCTCCCTAACCCCACCTGCCTCAGCCGCCTGGTTTCTCAATTATCCTTCCAAAATACGCGCTCGGGTCTCACGCGCGCCCAGTCTATAGTAACTCGGCTTCGTCATGAGCGTCAGCTCCACCGCTTGGATGCCAATTGCCTCGGCCTGCTTGCCGTGGCCGCTACTAAGGCCGGCTATACGTCCTACGCCACGTCAATCGTCAAGTCCATGCTTCGCTCTGGCTATCTTCCCCACGTGAAGGCCTGGAGCGCCGTCGTCAGTGATCTTGCTTCTTCCGGCGACGACGGTCCCCTGGAAGCTCTGAGGTTGTTCCAAGCGGTCACTCGGCGTGTCCGTAAATTCAATGACCTTCAAATAGTTTCAAACTCGCGGCCTGACACGGTTGCATTTAACGCCGCATTAAATGCTTGTGCGAACTTGGGTGATAGTGAGAAGTTCTTGCAGGTGTTTGATGAAATGCCCCAATATGGTGTTGAACCTGACGCCTTGAGTTACAACGTCATGATAAAGCTATGTTGTAGAACTGATAGAAAAGACCTGCTTGTGTTCGTGTTGGAGAGAATCTTAGAGGCAGGAATTCCTCTATGCATGACTACTTTGCATTCCCTAGTCGCAGCCTATGTTGGCTTTGGTGACTTGAAGACAGCAGAGAAGGTAATTCAGGCAATGAGGGAACAAAGAACGGATCTTTGCAAGATACTAAGGGAGTCCAATTCAGTTATTTTTGGCCAAAATGGTGAATCCGTTTTCAAGAAGTTGCTTCCAAATTTGAAAAACCAGGGTGACAGTGAGCCACCATTGCTGCCAAAAGTATATGCTCCCAATTCCAGAATTTACACCACTCTAATGAAAGGTTACATGCGGGCAGGTCGTGTGAGTGATACAGTGAGGATGCTTGAGGCAATGCGCCGTCAGGATGATCAAGCTAGTCATCCCGATCATGTATCATACACCACTGTGGTTTCAGCACTTGTGAAGGCAGGTTCAATGGACAGGGCTCGTCAAATCCTTGCTGAAATGATGAGAATTGGTGTGCCTCCAAATCTGATTACCTACAATATTCTGCTTAAGGGTTATTGCATGCAGCTGCAAATAGATCAGGCAAGGGAGCTGCTTAAAGAGATGGTTGGTGATGCAGGGATACAACCCGATGTGGTTTCCTACAATATTCTCATTGATGGGTGTATCTTAGTTGACGACAGTGCTGGGGCTCTTGCCTTCTTTAATGAGATGAGAGCAAAAGGAATAGCTCCCACAAAGGTTAGTTATACAACTTTGATGAAAGCTTTTGCCTTGTCAGGTCAACCAAAGCTGGCTCACAGGGTTTTTGATGAGATGCTCAATGATCCTCGGGTGAAGGCCGATATAATCGCCTGGAACATGTTGGTGGAAGGATATTGCAGGTTAGGGTTAATTGAAGAAGCAAAGAAAATAATTGAAAAGATGAAGGAGAGCGGATTGTATCCTGATGTGGCCACCTATGGCAGTCTTGCCAATGGAATTGCGTTAGCGAGAAGGCCAGGAGAGGCACTTCTACTTTGGAATGCAGTGAAGGAAAGGTGTAGGGTTGAGAAGGAAGGAGGCAAATCTGATTCATATATTGCACCGCCACTCAAACCAGATGAAGGGCTTTTGGATACTTTGGCTGATATCTGTGTGAGGGCGGCTTTCTTTAGGAAGGCACTGGAAATTGTGGCCTGCATGGAAGAACATGGGATTTCTCCCAACAAGACTAAGTTTACTAGAATCTATGTAGAAATGCATTCAAGAATGTTCACAAGTAAGCATGCTTCAAAGGCAAGACAGGACAGAAGGATAGAGAGGAAAAGAGCAGCTGAGGCTTTCAAGTTTTGGTTGGGATTGCCTAATTCTTATTATGGAAGTGAGTGGCGCTTAGAACCTATTGATGGGTATGATTCTGACTTGGTTTAGTGATTGAGTCACTAGCAACGCAGCGCGTCCAAAAAAAAAAAAATTGATGGTATATCCACTTGTGAAACTGAATACCAATGTTAGTATAGGAAAGTACGACACTGTTAAAAAATGTACTGACACTAGATACCATGTCAAGGCCCCTATAAAAGGGGTAAAAAAACATTTATATTACATACGTTAAACTATACATCTTTTACTATTTAACTTCTGTTAGATGTCCGTTTCATGATAAAAAATAATGCTGCAAGAAAGTGATCAACGTGCATGATTACATATTGTGCCTTCTGTTTATCTTTCTTAATGAAGGATCAGCGGCTGTATGTAACTACGTTAGTCTCAGTTTAAAGCACAACTTAATCACGAGTTCTTCGAGTCAAGCTCAGCCTTCTGTGCTGTACTCTTGTAACAGTTATTACATTCCATGGCGCATCCTCAGTTTTTCATACGCCTAACATACAGTATATGGGCTGGCCCAAAAAAAGCATTCTGTATATGGGGGGAACGGCCATCGCCTAACCTCAGTTTAGCCCTTTACCCTAGTTGATTGGCTTCGTGTACATGAGGAGGATAACACCTGCACAAGTCCAGGGAAGATGCCTGGCCGTCAGACTCGATAACACATCATGACATGATAAATAGCTAAATGCTCTGGCTTAGAATCTGTGATTAGTGGATTGTCAACGTAATATATCATCCATTCCCTACTTAAAGACTAGAACTGAGGTAACGTCATAAGCCCATCAATATTATGATGATGAGCTCCAATCTTAGCAGGTATTTGAGATGAATGCAGATTTGGGTTGAGGTTTTATATTCAAGTCGTATGTCGGCAGAATATCCTGCTACGCAGAAAAATTCACGACGGAAGAAAGCTAGAATGCCACCATACCTGGAATGTCTTGGGTCCCTTTTTGAGTAGATAACCAACGCTATTTAAATTATCGATGAAAGTGTCAATATCAGGCACTTGTAGGCCAATCCTATCCGCCAGACTATATATTTCCTGAAAATGTGACACACACACCTCTTTGACTGACAAAGTTACAAAAAAAAATAACCAGAAAAGTTTAAAAAAAAAAAAAAAAACTAATGCATACGGATATTGAAAAACAATCTTTCTGCTGGAATTCTGATTGTTTATTGAGGGCACTTAGGAAGCGTTTCGCCTCTTTCTGTTGACTCATTCCCCCACTTCGTCCAAAATCCACAAATCCATGCTCATCAACATATTTATCATACAGGGATTCCTTCATTATTTCAACTACATCCTGCAAACACGATGTTGTTATCTCAAAATATTGATGACAAAAATATTGCCCATGAAGAAACAATCGTCAATACACTTGTATTGGTAACCGGGACTCCTATATGATCATTAATTCCTATGAAGCTAGGGGAACAAAACGACTATTTACCGTTTAACTTGTTTCTCTTTCATCTCTTCAAGGTATTTTTACGTCGGCTATTGATTTGTGTAACCCCCAGAGTAGCATCTTAATTAAACAAGGACCGATACAACTAGATTATTCAGTTCAATACTTCAATCCCAAAAACCAGAACTAACCATGGCATCCTGGGCCGTTATTTCTTCTCTCAAGTCTAGCCGAGCTCGAGCTTCAGCCAGCCTCACTAGGCTTTCAAGTTGCCTTGCCGTTATCGGTGTA